GAATGGTAGTGAACCCAGCCAAATGCTCCGCTATTACGTTCTCACGAAAACAACAACCGATAATATTTAGCTATGACCTGCTGGGCTCGACAATCGAACGCGTGAATCAGGTGAAAGACTTGGGTGTGATCTTGGATTCGCAGCTTTCATTCAAGCAACACATTGCATATGTTGTTGATAAGGCGTCAAGAACTTTAGGGTTCATTTTTAGGATAGCTAAAAACTTCACTGATATCTACTGTCTAAAATCTCTCTATTGTTCGCTTGTTCGATCGACGCTTGAGTATTGTTCAGCGGTTTGGAACCCAAACTACAACAACGGTGCCGAGAGAATTGAATCTGTTCAACGTCGTTTTCTTCGTTTTGCGTTGCGTAGATTGCCTTGGAACGATCCGTTTCGATTACCAAGCTACGAAAGTCGTTGTCAACTTATCGACCTAGAACTTCTCCGGACTAGAAGAGACACAAACAGAGCCCTTACCGTGGCCGATATCCTACAAGGAAGGACAGATTGTGAGGCTATCCTGAGGCAAATTGACCTGAATGTTCAACCCCGACCGCTTCGTAATAACCTTATGCTAAGACTGCCTCTACGTCGCACAAACTATGGAGCGTACGGTGCGATTTGCGGACTGCAGAGAACATTCAACAGAGTTGCATCTGTTTTCGACTTTCATCTCTCCCGTGATGCGCTTCGTCGAAAGTTTTCTTCTGTTTTTGCCGGCAGGAGTTAAGATATTGACTATAAGATATACGTTTTTTTAATGTTTTTTTTTATGTGATGACCATGCTTGAATGTATTTTTTTTTACCATAGTTGATAAGGTTTAAATCATTGGGGCTTCATCCAGCCTGTTGATGTAAATAAAATAAAATAACAAATAAATAACAAATCTGATTTGATCTCCGCTTTTGTGTAAATGTCATATTATCACCGACCTTATTACCATCACCTTAGTGTGTGACATCAGGTGTACGCTCCTCTGTGTTTTCGTTACCAATGCAGTTAATTTGACACGTTTGTTGCATTTCCGTATGTCTCAATATTATTCTTGCTGAAACACCGTCAAACCCACTATCCAGAGGCAGCGAACCACCTTAACACCTGAAATTATACAAAAACAAATTAAACATTAGCACCATAACTTGGTGCGATCCTTGAGATGATTCGGATGCCACGATCGTTCCAATATCACTAGCTTGCAACCAACTGGACGGGATTACTGGAAACATTGGATTTTTTGGATGGTGAGACCTTTCCATTATTAACATTTAATGTACCGTAAAACGGGGTAACATTGATAGTTTTTTAAAGTATATTCTAAATATTTTTTACAGCAATTAATGTTTTTCAAATTTTATATTTTTAAAACAAGTACTGATGATCCACAAGAGTTGATTCGTTAGGAATATGTTGAACGAAAATTAAAGCATTTGCACTATGTTTTTAGTTTTGTGACCGTACTTCAGTTTTTTGATTTGGGGTTACTTTGATAATGCTCGATAAATGTAGAAAAAAAAATAGTGAAATTCAATCAATTTAGTTATTTTAATATGAAACTTTGAATGAGTATATAATCAGAAGACTTCATAAGAATGCAACATTGAATTTGTGATGGCTATATCGGAAATACATTTCATATGCGATGGTTTGAGTGTTTTTTCAAACAGGCGAAAAACACGAAAATTGTTTTATAAAATGTTTGTAAAATATGTAACACATATTGCTGATTGCATCTGAAACTGGACTGTCCCAAAAATGCAAAAAGTGTGATAAAAGTGCACGTTTCCGTCAAATTCGGAGCACTTATTGCTTGCATCATAAGGAATAAGTGCACCGAAGACACCAAGACGATTAGACGTAAACTTGCAGTTTTATCACACTTTTTAATATGTGAAAACGCGCTTATTAGTCCAATTTGGTGTGAAATGCGCAATACTATATAAAAAATATATACGATATCAACGGAAATACCCTAAGCTACAATATGGAATCAATGTTTCTAATTTGGAAAAAGCGCAGCGAGTAAATTTAATCTTTATATTATACTATCAAAGCTACCCCGTTTTACGGTACCATTTAATAGATGACATATTATTATATAATCTTTTAACTTTACAGCTTCCATTTGAATAATGATTTATTGTTGAAATTTGTAATTGATTATGATTCAAGTTGAAAATACATAGAAGTTTTGTGCCTACGCGAGAAGAGGTAATAAAATTATTTTCACTCCCGTGGATTTACCCTCAATCAATAAAAAAAATATATAAAACACAACATAATTCCTTCCTTTTGTGTAATTAGCTACGAGCACAGACGAACAGACGTAACTCTTTGAATAAGCTTTTCTTGGAAACATTGTACCTCATAGAACAAGACGTCAGTAGCGACATCTCTCGAACTTCTCGCGGAAAATAAGCTAGCTCGCTAAGTCGGAAACAATGTTGCATGCAACGATGCAACGTAAACATAATATATAGAAACGTCAAAGTTATTCGATGCCAGCGCTGTGGTGAGCAGTTCGCAGAAATGATAATATTCAAATCAGCCGTTAAATGCCTGAACAATTATCCAGGACTAAGTGTTACGTATGTTTGTCCGTGCTACGGGTGTGACAACGATGGTGAGTTCACCATGTTATATCTACATTTTATTTCAGCAACCTTATCTTCCAGCAGACGCTCTAGCAATTTCAAAATTTAAAAAAATCTACATTTGCCAGCAACAGTGTTCACTCGGGTGTCGACAGAAGCAGACCCGAAATGTTTGTGGGCAGGAACTCACGGTCTCCCAGTGTTGGTGAGTTCTTTGCCGTTAATGTTCACGAAAAGTTCACTATTTTTCCATACAGACACTCAAAACAAAAATTTTTATCTGCGGGTTTGGACAGTTTTAGATCTGTTTCATACGACCGGAAGGTGTATGCTGGTCACAAATGCCGTGCCATACTGATTTCCTACGCAATTAATCAATCTTTGATGTGAATTTCGCTAATAAACACGAGGAGCATTTCTTATAGCAAAACTTGCCATAACAAAATGGGCGGCTCATTTTAGTAAACAAACTAACACTTCTTCCGACTGTGTCACCTCTCTTACGCCGATGACACTCATATGAAAAATCATATAAAATTAACGTGATCGCATAAATGTTATGTGAAATACAGATGAATTCCATTATTTTTGTTTATGGATAAAAATCATTTCCGTTTCCAATGGAAGCTACATGAAAACTATTTTCGGTGCAGGCCACTCTCGATGTGTGCCACTCTCGATGTGTGCCACTCTCGATGTGTGCCACTCTCGATGTGTGCCACTCTCGATGTGTGCCACGCGATCGTCTGTTTTCCCGGCAGCAACCATTGTGTGGTCCTCCTTATTGTTCTTCATCAGCAGTTCTTTCGGTCGATGCGTCGTCGACTTTGGAAAGCAACCGTTTAGTGATGAGTGTGTGAGTGCTGACCACGTTTTACGTCCATTGCTGCAATAGAAGCGCTCTGACCCCCGTTGGTGAAACTGCCACTGGAAACAGCTCCAGTTCTGATGGAGGAGGCTTTTTGGATAGCGGAAGATAAAGTCGACATTTTAAGATGTATTGTATAGTGACCGAGAATCCTCGGCTCTGTAAAGTTAATTTGTTTGAGCCTTATCAAATCAAATAAATCAATTTGCCAGCAACACTGACTGGGTGTATCCTATGGCTTACCTTCCCTACTAACATAATTCCTAAATTCCCGAGACATTTATGAGGGGTCGTAGAGTTCTCTGCATCTCTCTTAAGTAAATGTTGGACTAACATACCTTTCCTAGCCCTACCAGTTGTAAGGACGTGGTCAGGACAATCCTTAACTGTTGGAGCGGGATATGTCTTTATCTGGGAGATAGTAATTATTTACTACTTACTATCTGTCCAGTAATAGATATCCGTCTTGCTCTTAATATTTTGAATTCGTACCACCTACGATATTGTGCAACTTGTTCGATGCTTATGCTAATAAGTGATGACTTTCTTTCTGCTCTACTTTTCCCTAGAACTTTTAGTCACGAAACGCCTCTGGTTTTCACAGTGATACCATTGATACTATAGTAGAAAATCATCCTTATTTTGAGCAATTTAGGAAGCTTGCTTTTGTTTACATCTTATGTGCCCCATACACACCGCAATCTGGTTGACAAGCAGGTTGGGTTGATGCTCGATTGCATCGAGTGGCTGCAAGGCAAAATTAACAGTTGATTAATCGGTTGAAGTAAAATTAAAGCGTTTTGAATTATGGTTGGGCGGAGTTTTATAGCGAATTCGTTTATTATCGGGGTTGGAACCGCGAACTTTTGTGCGGAACCGAACTTTTTGTCAGTGCGAACCTTAACCTTAGCTAGGTTTTAAAAACAAACGAGCAAACTGACGTTTGCCGTCAGAAAACAAGCAGACCCAATCAGCAGCATTATCGTAGATACTCGATCCAGGTTTGAATTGAATAATAAACGAATTGCTATAACAACGCCAACCTCACGCACAAACATCGCGTTTATTTTAAATAGGTTGGCCAACAGGTTGACGTACAAGTCGAATAGCAGCTTGTACTGTGTGTGGCGCAGTTGTAAATGTGTATGAGCTGCATTATGTTCGATATAGCATAGACGGTGTCATGAAATTAAATTAATCGTATGAAAATCCATCTGGACAAGTCAAAGATGCACATCAGTCTGATAGGAATAACTTTTTCCTCCACAATTCAAAGGTTGTTTTCCAGTTTTAATTAAATTTTCATAAATTTCCTACCTGCAGCCTGTGAACATTATCATCATCATGCAGTGGCGACATCTGCGTAGAGCTTTAACTGCAATCTTCCAATTAATGAGTCGACTATACAAATCTCGTGATGTTGTCAAAAGTTGAGAGCGACCTGCATCTGCATGTGATGGAATTTCTTTCGCATCTTCTCCGGAACAAACAAAGCATAGAGCTCGTAGCGATCGGTCCTTCATCCCATACCACTGTTTTTCTTTATTTATCGATGTTTGTCCTGTTACATAGTTTTACACCGCTGGTTCATTCTTCCATACAATAGCTCGATTAAATATGTTGTTCTTCTGATTTTTGATGATTTTTTCTTGTTTGCACGTGTGTTTTTGTGGAAAGGTTAGTAATAAACGTCAAGAATTAATTTGGAACTATTCTCCAATCGTTCATTTGTCATCCTATTTACTGTCCCTAATTTTGGTGGTTAAAATTTTAAGTAATTTTGTTATCAACTAGATCAACTAATAACCTGAAGGTATCTACAGATTTGCTTGTTGGTATGCTGGCTTGACAGTTGTGTTACTGTGACAGAAACGTAAACATCCAAACGATTGACGACGTTCGGCTTAACAAGAAAATTCCGGTTTGATGCATGTGTGGATGTATGTTTGTAACTTTTTTTTTGTATTGTATTTCAAGGAAAGCATCTCCCAAACTACTGTTTGTGTAGCTTTTGATCTCGGTAAGCTACGTTTTCCTTTGATGATGTATTATTGATCAAGTGTTCAATTTTAAGTTTCATAGTTTAACTAATATTTATATCCATTACGATTACAACAATTTCTATATATTAATTATATTATCTTTTATATACTTTTCTTGTTGCTAGCATTATCTTAGTTTAAGTCTAATTATTTCATGATTTTAAAACTTTGTTTGCTTCTGTTTGATTTAAAACTGAAGAAAAGATAAGAAGTAGATTGAAGCAATACTGATTTCTTTATTTATTTTTTGTTGTGTAAAGAAGAAAACGAGAATGGAGCAGAAAAAAAAAATTCCATAATCAATTGAGAAGAATCGGTTTGAATACATAAGTTGTGAAATTTGTGCTGTTCCATCCTTTAATTCACCCCATAACCAACAGATGGCCTTGCTGGAGAACACGAACACACCGATACGTTACAGATGGCGGGTTTGAAACGACACACACACTAATTTGTGTCCGGCGAATGGGGAATAAATTCAATGTTCGAAACCCCGCCGTTGCTTCAACATTCAGCAAATATCTGAATTTCTAATCGTTGGAAATTTGGTGTACGGGAAGCAAGATGCTGAGGCAAAAGGTGCCGAATATTGAATTAACAATCAATCGCTTATCTAAATCTACCGAAATGACGAGAGGTTCAATAAATTTTCTTTGTTTTCTTTGGATACGAATTAGAGGACTGGAAGCTTTATCAAACCGAAGCAATACTTTTTAATTGATAATAAAGAAATCATTTGTTTCTATTGCAACAGTGCCAAATTTTAACCTGACGAAGGAATGTTTTCACCTAGTGTTTTTGCTTCAGTAGTAGTATATTAGTAGAACGTTCAATTTGTTTTGCATACCCTTTAATGCGAACACGGTTTCCGTAACTGATTATCCTTACTATACAACGCTTTTTACTTGTCTTAAGAGCACTAATCAAAAATGATTTCAATTAACATGTTAACAAATTGTGTACAAACTAGTTGAATAAAAAATCGAGAGAAATTTAACGCAAAAAAAACAAAAAATCTTAGAATACCAGAAACCTACAAATCGGCACCAGGAAAATATGTATGGTGGTAATCGAGCCGGCTACCACGAGTTGGTCGCATAAAGGTTTTCAAGAATCCCAGTAGATGTTGTTCTGGGATCCCCAGTAGGTGTTATTCTGGGGTACCCAGTAGATGTTATTCCGGGTCCTTCAACAGTAAACGGTTTTGAGTAGCAATTTATCTTTCGAACACAGCAAGGACCTACCCGAGGACGGGTTCGATTGCCAATTAAGTTTGCATTACGTTGTCTTTATGATAGTAAGTATTAAGTCTGGTGGAACTGACCTTAACGTCTGAAGAATTTAGTAGGATCTTAAGAATTTCGACAGCGATGGTGTGCTGCCTACATATTTTTTGTTTTCGTTTTCATTGTAGGTTGCCTGGAAATTCTTTTAAAATAAGGAAACGGCGAAAATAAAGACAAAAAACACGGGGTACGTGTGATGAAGCGAACGTAGGACTGCTGCTTAGTCGGTAAACTTGCGGTTGGTGTTACGACCGAACAGAGAATTACGGATCTCGGGTACCAGTTGCTGGGCGATCAGCTCCAATCGAGACTCCAACGTGTTAGCGACCTGCAACGGAAGGGAACAAGGTAAGCGATTATAATGCGATAAGTTTACAAAGCAGTTTATTTTGCATTTGCTCGTATTTTGCTAGTTCCGAGCTATGGTGAATACTTTGAAGCTGATAAGCTATGCAGACTATACAGTGGGCAGGTCATTCGGTAAGTATGTCGTCAGATGGACAAACATAGGATGCATACAATAGGAAACGCGGTATTGGTCGTGGAAGGCTACATGCGAGCAAGGGCATAGTCAGGTTTCTTAGAAGAGGTTTTAAAAATTTTTATGGGTCGTTAAACCGAACGCCATTTGGTTAAATTAGTGGTGTCACATTTCCCGGAGTTACTTTTTCTGGGAAAAGATGTTTCTCGGAACGTAAGGTCGCCATTCACCACTCAATCTATAAGTTTTATCATTATTTACGGACAATTACAACAAATACCAATAGTATGATCACAATTAATACCAGTTAGTATATCATTTGCAATAATGTGCAAGTTAAGAGAAAAATAATAAAAAAAAATAATTATACAGTGAGCGTCGAAGGTAGACCTTACGGTATATAGGCGAATTTCACGCGAACTCGACAAGTGGTTGGCGATTCCAATGAAACTATATGGGTGTAAAGATTTCGCCTACCTAAGCAACTTTGCCTACTTATTTTCGGCAAAAACGGCACAATAAGACACAGAGGAATCTAAGCAGTGTGCACGCTTATATTGGCATTTCCCGACGTGGGGCGACCCCGGCGTAGTGGTTAACATCCATACCTATCACGCCAAAGTCACGAGTTCAAATCTCACCCCCGGACAAGTCACGAATGACCCAAGAGTGTTAAAGTGACTATAAAAAAAAAAAAAAAAAAAAAAAAACATTTCCCGACGTAAAGCACACATATGTAGTGTTTGTTTATTTGTTTGTTTACATTCATCTACTGCCTGCTGCTCCATGCCGAGAACCGATTAACAATGCTTTTACAACGCTCCAAACTACTTAGCTGAGTGTGACTATTGTCGGCAACCTCTTTTTCTTCGGCAACCTTTCCATTTAAACTGCGTGTTAATCTGCTGTTCTATTCATCATTCCTTTATTTAACGTCGGTTTCTGTTCCGCCAATCACCGACGGACATCGATTGCCATCCATTGACGGCAATCGAACGTGCAGGAAGGCAGCTTCCACAACTGCGTAGGATATCGCACCCATTCAAACACACATGGGCCGGCTTTACTTTCCCTTCCGACCGCTTTACTTCCCTTCCGAAGGAAGACGTGACCAGAGATTTTTATGCCTCAGAAAAATCCCACTGACCTCGGCTGGGATTGAACCCAGGCCCATTGGGGATGAGAAGGCAGTCACGCTTACCACCACACCACCGGCGCCGGCTGCTGTTCTATAATCGACAACTTGAAATCAGCAGCATTTTGTTATGCGTATGCAAAAATGCAGTGAAATTACCGTATTAATTTTGTTTGCCGAAAACAGTCAATAGGTGCCGAAGCCGACATTTACCCTGCCAAAAATTTGCAAAAGAGCGAATTGGAGAGAATTATGTTAGCTTTTATAAAAAAAAAAAAAACTACACTAAAAAAACGTTTAAAAAATTAAAAATGATTTGTCTCAAAAACATCATTTAAAAAAAATATCATTTTTTTTATAGAAAGACAGTACAACAACTATTTACAAGTCTTTTATAGATGGGCACTTTTACTGGCGAAAAAGTTATTCAAACAATAACTTTTTCGATGAATTTCATCCCAAAGCAGATATATTCAATCCAGACCCCTCTCAATTTAGAATAAAATATTGTTGGTGCCATGATTTTGGCTAATGCTAATTAAGCAAGTTATGCTATAATTTTGTCAGTGCAGATATTACAAATTATAAAATGTAGAGACGTGTTTCTTGGCAACCACTAAACCGAATTGAGCGCAACAAACTCCAAAACGAAAGTTATTATGTCCCATTGAACGCTATTGAAGATTTTTGAAATGGGTCAGCCGATTCCAGTGTTGGCTGAGTTATTTAGATAAAGTCACGAGGACGTTAACCTAGAAAAATGTAAATTTCTGAGTTAAATTATATACGGAGGCTCTACACTAAAAAAATAAATCACATTTCCAATGGAAAATATCCATTAGAATTTCACATAAATTTCATGTGATCTCATAATTAGAAATCGCACTACAAAATCACATGAATCTTATGTGTCCAATGAAATTTATGTGATTTATCACATAGAATTCATGTGATCATATGAATGTTATGTAAATTTCAGATAAAAATCATTAATTTTGTTATTGGAAAAAAATATCATGTGCGTTCCCAATGGAAACTATATGTCAACTTTTTTCGGTGTATGCAACTATAAGGAAATATTTATTTGAAATTATCCCGATAATGTCGCTTACAAATTGCCATGTTGATTGATTTCAAGATAACCACCACAATAACGTACCTTGATACGGGAGCCATGTGTAATCAGTTCGACTCCTCCAGTGGCATTAGCTGGCAGATAGTTTTCAGTGTCCAGAGTGACGACAACGTCCTTGCCAGAGGGATTCTTGTAGGCCTCCACAGCCGATGGCAGAATGTTCTGGATCAGTTGGGCGTCAATCTGGCGTCCACGAATGATCACATTGGGTTCCATAAGCTATCAAATAAAAGCAAAATTCAAATTAATTCAACGTTGCTTGAACAGCAAAAATTAATTCGATTTGATTTGATTGATCCGTACCTGCAGCAGTCCCTGAGTGATGAGTGCGGAGAGAATCTCACCGTAGCGAGCCGGGTCACGGGTGACCTCTCCCAGCCGACGTCTGCATTCTTCGAGCACGCCTCCTACGTGATCTTCACGTACCTTGAGCACCTACTCGAAACAAGATAAATCGACCATAAGTCATTTCCTCATTTTAAAAATAAAAGCTTGGGAATATACCTTGAGACGGGCCTGGTTCAGCATGTTCGAAGATTGGATCTTCTTCTGCAGCTCAACCTGCTTTTCCTTCTTTTCATAGTACTCCATGATCTTCAGGCGCTGCTGCTGTACCAGGCGACCCTTCTCGATGTTGAACTCCTCCTCGGCCTTGGCGTCAATTTCTTCCGCCTTTTCGTTGGCCTCCTGCTCGATGAAGGCCATCATGTGCTTGATCTGGGTGGAATAGAGCAGATAGAATCTAATGAGTCCTACTATAAAATTTTGCCAAACCATGCACTCAACAAAGTGCTCTTAGTAAGGGGCTTCAGTTTTTGATAGGTCTGTATGGACAATCATCAAAAATATTTTTTTTTTATTAGATGTACCGTGGACATTTGCCAAATCTTCTTCCCCCTGAACTGTCAATTATCGCAACAGAAGTCTGATTTCATTTTAAACTTTCAAAAGTAGTGCAGTCATAAGTTTTTAAAATTTAAGCAACTTAACTTAAAGTTTTATTGACAATTTAATTTAATATCATCTATTGTTGAAATAACGATTATTGTTTTGTTTTATTAACACATGTTAGGTCATTCGTAACTTGTCCGGGATGAAATTTGAATTCAAGTCTTACAGCGTAGGGCAGAACGAGTTGACTAAAATTTCATAAGCAACGATAGGGTGGACTAGAGTGGGTTTCTAAGCACATATTGCTAAATAAGTGTAGTAAGGCGATTTTAAGAGTGAGTTCGCAGATCATGTGAGTTTCCGAGTAGTAATAAATTGCCATAACGTTTCCATATAATATAGGAAATTTGCTCGAAAGATTTTAAAGAAAACCTAGAACTGGATTTAGTTACGTTTGCTATTTGGACTATCCATTGCATTTTTTCGGGATCCTCTTAATTTATCGCTAGGTTTGTGATTTGATCTTAATTTTTCCCTGATGAACTCTGGAATGGAAGTAATTTGGAATAATCTTGGTTGTCAATATATGCCATAATGCTCGCCATAATGTGCACTTTTTTTAAGCATGGAAGTTTTTTGAGATTGCCTCGAAATCATTTGATGTTGCAGCTTCAGCCTTCTTTCTGATGAGTGAATAATCCTAGGAACTATAATTGAAATCTTTTTAACTTATCTGGTTTTTTTTGTGATATTCAAGCTGAACATTGCATTAGGTCCTAAGTAACATTGACAAATTCTCTTCGTCGACTTTCTCTTTGTATCCCCACGGCCAATTAAAGACATTCCCAGGTTTTTTCTGCACACAGATCGATAAAAGAAGTTTTTATCTAGCATCTAAGGCGACAAATACAACAAGAAACTGCTATGTGCTCTAGTTATTAACGAAAGAGAAAGTGGACGAAGAGAATCGATCAATGTTACTTAGGACCTAATGCAATTTTCAGCTTGATGCGCTATATTTTCTGGATTATCAAAGGGAAAGGGGTGTAAGTGGCTTTGATCGATTCTCTTCATCGACTTTCTCTTTTGATATCCACACCGTTATAAACAGATTTTGCGGTATTTCTGCCACATAGTTTGATAAAGGAGGTTCTCATCTAGCATCCAGAATGGCACACGAATCAACCAATGTGTTTGCAGCTGAATTATTAACGAAAGAGAAAGTCGATGAAGAGAATCTTTTAAACTCACTTACACCCCTTTCCTCCTAACCCCTCCTTGTTTCAAGCTAATTTGAACAGCTAAATGCAGTACATTTTACCGGAATAGTAAAGTGCTGATCTTCACAACATTAAGAAAAAACATTACAATCAAAGGCGCGAGGTGCGGATGGGACGGGTGGGACATGTCCTACGCACAAAAATACCTGGGTGGGACAATCAAAGGTTAGTCCCACCCACGATTTGATAGAGAACATACAAACCTGAATTAATCCTCCAATGATAAAATCTTACTTTTTACTAATAGAAATTTCGACTAAAGTGATCATACGATGAGAAAATATAGATGAATTCGCATGTGATTTAAGGTAACGCATGATGGATTTTAGCCGGATGAGGCCAGCATAGTCCTATGGTCTGATTATTACTGGCATTTCAAACCAGAACATGTTCCGGTCATACATCTCCGGAACCAGTTTATGATTTCAAAAATATTCAAGAAGTTCTACACTCAGGCAAAAATAGCAAATGATTTTCATAAGATCCATCTTATGAAGCGAGTTTTTATTATTTTTTGTGCTTTCATAAGATTCTTATGTAATTCACACGATCTGAGCGAAATTTATACGACACAACATTATTTTCCATACATTCCGCACATCCATTACAATTTTGCATTATTCCTTTCATAAATATGACTGTATCATATGAAATCACGGTTTGAAACAGCTGCTATGGTAAATAATTAGTCATTTACAATACTGAAAAAATATAGCTTTAAATAGGCAGTTCTTCTGAAATTTAATTTATTCTACAGAAAATAATTGTTTCTGTTAAATCTTTGGATGCTAAAACGCTAAAACTGTTCATTGCTGACCCTTCATAAAGCTTCAAGAGAACATTAATATTCTTACCCGTTGTTTACAAGGTCGCTCATACCACCCCAACAGGGTGCTCATTTTCAGGGAATCAAGAAAATGCTATCTTCCGATGCTTACCGACGATAAAAATACTAGTTAACGGAATCATGATCAGTGTACAGTAAGATCATGGATTATCGTTTGTTTTACACATCATGATCAGCAACAAAAACGACAATATACTGATATGATAACAATCACTTTGTAATGTATCCCAAAATCAAGGAACTTGCTGTCTTTGGAAAATACCCTATAATACGGATATTTTTGGAATCGGGATGACACATATATTTTGAAAATCAATATAGGTTGCCATTTTGAAATCCGTCATCTCGGCCGTTGGTTTCGAAAAAAATACTATCAAATACACTACAATATGGGTATTTCTGGAACTGGAATAATGTGTAGATGTTGAAAATCGATGTCAACCGCCATTTTGGAATCCAATTTGGTGGCCTTTGGTTTTAAATAGAACTGACAAATACTCTAGTCAACATGGCGGCTGACAAAAGTTGTTTCTAAAATCAATAGCCGCCATCTTGAATTCCCAAATAGCAGCAGATATTATTTTTCTACATCTGCATGCTATCCCTGTTCCGAAAATACCCACATTGCAGGGTAATCTTGCATTTCCAAATTGTGCCGGACATCAATTTTCGACAGTTTTTCTTAAATCGATGGCCACCATCTTGGATTTCATAATGGCGGCAAACATCGATTTTCGATCTCTATACGTCATCCTCATTCCGAAAATTCACATATTGTAGGGTATTTGATTAGCCTTGTCTTAAATGGGGAATTTTCAGTGACGAGAGCTGATGATGATGATCTGAGATTATCGCTATTTCATATGATCATGATCTGTTACACAAATGATAATCGCATTATCGTTTCCAGAACTGTCCATTGTGATTTATGGATTTGTACTAATCATGAGTGTAACCAAAATGAGAATGCCATTATCTTTATCTGAATCGTTCATTTTGATTCCCTGCTCATTTTACCCCAACGGTTTAATTTGGGTTACAAAACGATCATTTTTTAATTCTTTTTGCATAAGATTCAAAAGTTTGCTTTTGATATTCAATTCATATTCATGATGTAAATAGGGCTTGAAACTATCCATTTGGGTAAACATCATTCGCATTTTCCACTGAATTTTGTATGATTAGTGATGATTTTCCTAACGTGGCCAAACTGCCCTACTTTCCTCTATTCATTGTTAAGTTATCAGGCTCATATTGACCTCCTTTGGAACCTAACTGACTTATAGATCTGGAGAATTATTCGGGGACATTTCGTAAAAAGGGTCTGTTCTCCCCATAGATAAATTAGTTAAGTATTTTGTTTTCTTTTTGAATTTTGTTTGTTTTGCATCTATGAGCGTTTATTTAAAAAAGTTGATAACGAAAGTTAAGTACGAATCGAATTTTTTTGCGATAGCATGACAAACGTAATATGCCACGCGGAAATCATAAGAGGGGTAAATCTGATGGCCACGCTTGTCCACGGAGCGTGAGGTGGGCACACATGCTTTTTCTGTCCCCGTGATATATGGACGACCCCTAAGCACCGACGAACCCTAAGTATGACTACATTGATATCATGTTAGCGCCTTCGTTGATTTTGTGATACGATAAATTTTCTCTAATCAAACCACGTGATTCGTACCTTCGGTAATTTGTATCTTAGGCAGCAATGTATTTATACTCTATATTGCCCTGTTCTCTAAATCCATTTAACACAATATGTAGTGTGGTAAGCTGAACTGCGTTCTTGAATGATGGAAATGGAACCGAAAAAATAAAAATTTCGAACCTAACCTAAAATAATATTTGAGCGCCCTTCGGCAATACTTTAGTATGGGGTGCAGGCTTAAAAATGCTCGTTACAGCTAAAAAGCTACTTTTTGAAAATATGAAGCTATGAGACGTTATAATTATATTTTTTATATGTAAGATCCAAGAATAATACCCCGTTCACATTACAGCGTATATCACGTGATATACGCTGTCTTGCAATGAGCACTCATACGTCTAGTTTTCACTGGAAATCCTATGTATGAGTGCTCATTGCAAGACAGCCTATATTACGTGATATAGGCTGTAATGTGAACGGGGTATAAGAAGTAAAGTTTGTATATGACACATAAAGCCTGTCAATTTCGCTTCCAGAATGTCCCAATTAGCGATTAGTTATAACGAGAAGTACTCACTAATCGTGATTACTTATTACAACTAAAATAGCTAATGTTGATCCTCTGAAAATAAAATTGACATGTGTCATACACAAACTTAACGTCCCCTTTTTGCATCTTACACATACAAATTATTATTATCTCATAGTTTCTTAATTTCGAAAAGTAGCATTTTAGCTGTAATGAGCATTCCAAGCCTGACGGACATTTCTGTGCGTGTGGCAGTGGTTATCATGATATCGAGCATGTTGTTTGGTCATGTACCCTACACCATGGTGCCAGATCTGAGTTATCCACATCCCTCAGGGCCCGAGGAAACCAACTAGCCATATCCATTAGAGATGTCTTGGCTAGCCGAGATTTCGACTATTTGAATTTAATTTATGTGTTTTTAAAACGGATAGATCTGAGGATTTAGTAGTTAGTGTCATCTTGTGTTCTCCCAAGTTGTTATCTGCCCATCGGTGTGCCCATATATTTGTCTTTTTCATCAGTATGTCGCTTAGTTCGAGATCAAGAGCACATTGCTCTCCAAACCAGTGTTGGAAAAAAAAATCAAAAAAATCAAATCTCACCAATGCCCAAGATCACGCTTGATTCTCGTAGACAAAAATCAACAAGCAAACACCTGCGGTTGATTTTGCAAGCTCTGATATCGCAGCTCGGAATATCAAGCTAACAAAACTCACCAACTGCAAATCTCACCAAACTGTGATGAGATTGAGTTTAATGACTTTTGCTTTACACCCGTATGGAACCGAAACTTCCATAACGGTTGGCAGCAGTCCCTTCGTGTCTGCCATCGGTGAAGATTAAACAGAGATAGCAAACTATACTTTCTCTTTCTAAGAAAACGATGGTGAACGAAATCGTGTTTGTGTTGAGTCAGCTCTCAGCTTGATTTTTGCGCGTTGTGAATAGTCTCGCAATATCAAAGCAGCTTGTAAAATCAGTATCAAGCATGATATTTTGTTCCAAAATCACGCGTGATATTGAGAGCATATGAGAGCGGAAAAATATTATTTGATTGATGATTTTGCCAACACTGCTCCAAACCTTGTGTTCTCAATCCCTACCCTGCCATCCATTTGTTACAATTTGTTACCTCTAACCTCGAGATAGCCGCGAGTAATCGGGCCCGCTTTACTAACGTTAGTATTGAGTAATTTTGTGATCTAAACAATGAATATCGGCTCCGCAAAGCTACATCAAATGAGCCTGGAAAAATAAACGCATTATAAAAAAGTGCTAAACAAACACGCAGTTAGGCAGGCATTAAGGTTCCGGTTGGAATGAAATTACCCACTCAAAAAAAGTAGAAAAATACGAAGCAAATGCTCGAAAAATATTCAACCGGTAAACGATGCTGAGAAACATAAATATTCTTCTAGTAATAGTGTTAAACATTTACTAACCACTTAATAATCTCTGGTGCATACATTTCTATTTAGTAATTTTTTTTCTGCTTCAGCTTGATTTGTTCAACCAAGAATTTGAAGTTCAACCCATATATTACACTAGATACATTATACATATTACAACAACGGCAAGCTAGCCAATATTAAAACTTTAAAAGATCATCCCCTCATGCAATGCTCTTGCATTGGAAAAGAGACCTAGCTCATGAACATGGCGCTGCTTTGCTATACTGAACCCGTCTGATGGTAGTGGTCATGTGACACTTTGTTTTCACTCTTGGTTCACATTTACACACCTCTTGACCAACACGACTGGAAATTAAAATAATTCGCGCTGATAAGTCCTCGGATCCAGTGTATTTTGGAGCATTACCATTAACTTGCTTCCACCATTGCTAGAAGGAAAATATGTGGCTCCCTTTGCATATGCGCAAGAGTCGTCCCTTCTCGTCGGCGACAGTAAATCGAAAAATAAGCAGCTAGGTATATGCCAAGTGGAAATGATGCAAAAATAATCATTTTTATCTTCCCCCAGCAGACATTTTTTACCACACATACACATCACTCACGGGGCCACCGTCACAATACTCTATACGATTACGCTTCACATGACAGGTCCCGTGACCCAGAGGCACAAGTGAGAAAACTCAATTCTTTCCATTTTCCCGAAATCCGCTCAATTTCGTCCAATGTTGTTCGTTTCCTTTCGAAAAGCATTCCATGGTGTAAAATTTCCTACCAAGTTAAGGTCCCTTCCTTGAGGTAAAAGGACTTTTTAGAGCCTGCTCCTTTTCGCTACGGATTGACGTTTCCGTGGATTTGATCTCATCTCGAGAAAAAATATAATTTCCAGGGGAAAAGCGAATCCCCTCGTATTTAGATCCATTATCATAGGTAGGAATGTATGTTATGCAACAACACTATCCTGGTTCAGTCATTCCGGAGTGGCCACTTACCTGCTTTTGGACATCTGCGTCGCTCAGGGCCATTTTGCCAGCGGGTTTGTATGGTAAATGTTCAACTGAAAAAGTATAGAGGGGAAAAAAGTAACTTATTAGTATTCAACCAAAAACCAAACTTCGCTATTAATTTGGACACAAAATTCTGGAGAATTTCATCAAAATCTGGAAGCAACCCGTACCGGAGAAAAAAATGTATCCACTAGCTGCTGCTGCTGTTGGTGCAACTCCGCTCGTCGGCCGTTCTCCTTCACTACTAAGAAAATTGCTGTGGCTGGCTAGTGATGGGTGATCGTGATTAGTGGTACGAGTTGTTCGAATGAAAAGAAGGAAAAAAATATATCTCACATGACAGAGCAGCTACGAGTTGCGAAGAAAGATTGCGAGAGCTTCCTCAACAGATCCACCACGAGTCACGAGAGCAGTCGTTGCAGGAATGTTCTCTCGTCTATTTGGAACTGACAGTTCTCTCCGAATAGTGTCAGATCTGATCGATCTGATTGACAGCAGCAGCTGTTTCTGTTTTTGTTGAACGGACCCAATGCAAATTAAATAAATCCGAAGTAAAGCTCAAGGAATTCTAATGCGAAGGTCTGAGGCATAAAAATCTCTGAAGTAAAGCCATTGGTCCCGGCCAATGTGTGTTGTGAATGGGTGCGATATGCATACCCTAATAAAAATTGTATGGTTAATTTGTTTAACGACGTGTTCTGGGTATCATCCAAACCATTTGTGGAATAGTTCAATGATTTGGGTTATCGTTCGTTTATGGTTATTTTTTATTAGGGTATGCATATGGTACGCAGGTGTGGAAGCTGCCTTCCTGCACATTCGACTGCCGTCAATGGATGGCAATCGATGTCCGTCGCTGATTGGCACTAGATTGCGGAACAGAGACCGACGTTAAATCTAGACCAACAATTGAAATAGGCGGAACAACCAAACGTAAACAATGGCTTTAAACACAAAATTCTCGAGAATCAAAACACTCCCACGTACTAACAAGACCATTCGATAAAGGAAGTTTGCTCTATCAGATGATGGCTAGGGGCAAGACAGCTTTCAATCATGAGCAATTTTTTAGCAAATATTGAGTAACTCTGAGTTACTCGCGGTGCTCAATAATGAATACCATTGTCAAAATGAAAATTTGTATCGCAGCAACTCAGTTGAACAGGTTTCTCTCCGTATTTACATATTTGTGGTTCTGCTAAAGCAAAAATAATCAACAGAATAGTTCTGGATGATCTAGGAAGAAAAATACGGGTTTTAATGCGGGTTCAACTTATTGAAGATATAAGTTATAACACTCTTATCACAAACGAAGTGACAGACGGAGCGGCTCGAAATTTGATTTGACGCACTTACATTTGAAATTTTCGAGTGTACCTCACGGCAACACTATCTACTCATACGTACTAGCTTAAAGTAGTTGATGATATTGATTGTACCCACCTGTTATCTCTTTTTCTCTAACGAAAATTGAAAGGGAGAGTCTGTTGTCAGACAGCATGACATTATGTTGCTTTCGTTGTTATCTGGGCCAACATTATCAGGGGTGAATACTTCGGGTTAACATTTGCTTATAAGTAAACGCAACATCGTAAACTTATAAGTAAACGCAACATCGTAAACTTATAAGTAAACGCAACGCAGTCAATGACTCGCGCTTGTTGGCGGCAATTGTTGCTACAGATTTCATCAGTCCGTGCTTCTAACCAAAGCCACAGTCATCCGCGACCGAGAAGACATCGACGATTATTTCAAAAGAAAAATAGGGGAATTTACGTATTCTCGTCAATCTAAGCAGCTTCTGCACTTCTACTAGCATTTTCTCCGCGTCACGCACATATATGATGTGTCTGTTTGCTTACATTCATCTGCTGCTTGCTTTTCTATCCATTCCAATCGACAGAATTTTTCAAAACGTTTTGAAAGCGTTTTTACAACGCTCCAAACTTCTCAGGTGAGTGTGACTATTGTCGGCAGCCTCTTTTTCTTCGGCAACCTTCCCATTAGAACTGCGTGTTAACCAGCTGTTCTATTATCGGCAACTCGAAATCAACCCCATTTTGTAGTGCGTATGCTTTATTTGAAGAAAAATGTAGCATTACTGGATTGCTCGATCGTTCAAATATAATCAGATTGAAGCTGAAAGGCTAAACAATCGTTTGGACACATTCAGGGAAGTGCGTTGATGGGAAAACATAGTGAAATTAACGTTTAAATTTTGGTTGCCGAAAACAGACAATGGGTGCCGAAGCCAACATTTACCCTAGTTAGCTTGCTATTAATTTTTGAAATTTAAATTTCTTTTGTTTTATTTATTTTATTCGACACACTGTTCTTTCCGTCGCGTAGTTCTATTTTAATGCTACTGTAATGTAATCCATCAGGGCTATCGAGCAGCTAAATGTGTTCCAACATGTCGCTCCAGTTGATGATACTGAAGTCATCCAGAGGACGGCGCGTGGTGGCGTGACACTTTAGCAACTCCGTATAATCGCATTTGGAAACGCCTTTTCCGGATCCCGTAAAATAGGCCTATCCAAGCGACAATTCTTGGCATCGATGCGAATTATGTATTTTAGGTAAACCACACAGCTTCTTCTTCATCGCTTCCCTTCTGGCATAAAGGGAGGATCTCATGGATCAGCATTGGGTCATAAGCAGGTCTTTGTGGGGAATGGTATTTGATGCCTTATGGGGAAATTTATTCGATCGCTTCGAAAGTTATTCATGGCACCTGGGAAACCTTGAGTCAATAAAGCGCTTGGTACGGTATTTTATTTAAAAAGATATTGAAACAAGTAAATAAGTATGTGTGATATGAATGTTTATACCCGCTATTCTCAAAAACAAAAGCGCTCTGGTGGAATCCATTTTTTTCTTTATTCGATAGGCCAAAGTGCAGCGCCATTGAATATAAATGCGTTCAGAAGCAGTGTTAGATTTTAAAAATATCTCAACAATTTGCTAATCTTTTGCCAATCTACCATTACTAAATTTAAAAGTGATCTTCGATACAAACATTCTATTATTTGTTAAAACACGTTCGTAAAAGAGAGGTTAAGAGTGGGTTGCGCTTAGTATAACGGAAATGTGATATTTAACACTTGAATAAATTATATTTTAATATTTGCTGGGAAATCCATTCCAAAAAATGTGAAAATATGATCATCTACATAGAAATGTCCAGACTTCCCGCATATGTCGAACATTTTCAAAATGGCTGAAAGTTATATGTTTAACTCTCCGAGCCCCACACCTATATCATACTTTTCACTATTTGTGTAATATCTTCGGTAAATTTTATTGTATTTTTTATGTTGTTATCTTGTTGGAAAGGGTATATTTATGTTACGTTTTGATAGTTTGATTGAGCATAGCACAATTTTTTTGGTTTTTCAGTTTTTGTCGAGTCGGTAGACATGTCGTTTCAGCAAGTTGAAGTTGATCGGTTTCTCAATGTGATTGGTGAGGCGGGAGGAAACAAGTCATCTCTTTAACTATCACGACGTTCTTATGTATAATCTATTGTGACGTAACGTTGGACCATGCGTAACAACACCGTGAGAACGAAAGAGTCGACTACATTCCTTCTGCCGCACCTAAAGTAACGCACACGGTTCCCGCGCTGACTGTTCCTTACTTTCTCACTCTAATCAAAATTTCCTTCAATGAGTGAGAAAACAGCACTCCGTCAACACGGGCAAGAACTCGAGTTGCCAGATCATTGCACACAAAAGCAACTTGAATTAATTCAAAACGAAAATACTAGCGAACCTGGCGGTGAGGGGTGGAAGGTGGACTAAAATTCTATTACAGATAACCACATTATTTTAATTCATTTCTTCGGAGTAAGTCGTCTGTCACTTCGTTTGTGGTGAAAGAAGACACTAAAATAAAAAGTTTTTCTTCCGACAGTTTCATCTTAGTATTCATCTTTGCAAATACCTTCACGAAACGAAAATCAATTATTTTTTTCATGTGTTTCACTTATACATTTTTGCCAAAACATCAGCCTTATACATTCCATAAGACAAACTACATAGGTCCTATAAGAATGCATAAAAGGTATGTGTGACCGCTTATACATTTCATTTGACACATGATCTTCATTAAATTTTTGCAAGACGTCTGTTTATTAGTTGACTTATACATTATAAGCAATGTATAATCAGCAATAGAAATTTGCCAAAAGGTATAAGGAAATTTCTATCCTTGTATGTATACGGCGGTGGATGAAAGGGACTGTGAAGACACTAAAATAGAAAGTTTTTTTCTCCCGACTGTTTCATCTTAGCATTCTTTTTTGGAATAAGTGCACTGAAGACTTGATCCACACGAAACGAAAATCAATTATTTTATTCATGTGCCTTATACATTCCATAATATTATTACATCAGCCTTATACATTCCATAATACAAACCACATAGGTCATATAAGAATGCATAAAAGGTATGTGTGAACGATTATACATTTCATTTGACACATGATCTTCATTAGCTTTTTGCACGGCGTCTGCTTATTAGTTGACTTATACATTTGATGAATAATCAGCAATAGAAATTTGCCAAAAGGTATAAGGAGATTTCTATCCGTGCAGGCTATTGGCGTCTTGCAGTGAAACTTTTACAAGCTTTCGCCACCTACATTTCGAAGTGAGAACTACTAGAAGGAGGATAGTTTCCAAATTCTCCAAGTAAAATAGACAATTTTTGGGGCAAATCGGTACATAAAGAAATGCTAATAATTTCCGGTGGAAACTTTTGCTTGAACCGTGTAAGAAAACGTGTTTGCAAACTAACTGTTATTATTTCGGTATGGATCGGAGATGTTTTCATGGAAAATTATGCATAACAAGTTTGCACCCACAGGTAGAGGTTACCTCCTGGGCAGCTGCATTTTTCGGAAAATGGTGAATATGGATGAAAGTGGAAATTAAGTGAATTTACTTAGGAAAGATTGGGCTGTATGAATAAAAAGAGTTTACTTTACTTTCCCGTGCTTTTCTTACGGAAAAAGTAAAGTAAACGCTTTTATTCATACGACCTATTGTATCATGCTGGAGATAATGGAGAAATGGTTGTATAGGAAGCCAATATTCAATAAATGTTCATTTTAGCCTTTCTTACACACAAAAAATAATCGTTGCTAAAATTAAAAAATCCGTTGGTAGAATTAAAAGTTTGCGTTGGTTCTTTTTGGTAGAAAGCGGTTAGCTTTCAAACCAAAAGTCAGCAAGCTGTCAAATCAAAAGTAGTCACCTCACTACTTTTAAAAGTTTAAACTTTCAAAATGAATTGTACTACTGTCAAATGAAAAGCATGACAGTGTTGA